TAAACACAAGTGCCTCTTATCATTTACCTAAACACACAGCAGCAACAGCCCTATTTATGGCCCTCGTAGTCTATGTGAGTTGGGGCGTGCTGCATATTATGCGTAGACTGAAAATTTCACGTAAACCAGATGCTGATTGCCATACAAGGCTTACTTCCTGTTTCCACTATAGGTGGTAATATGACTATTAATATTGACATGTGTATGTATTCAGGGCAGGAGTCTTATCAGACATGTAGTTTGGTGGATATTGGACAATGTACACTGAAGTTATGACAACTTCCTGTTTAATGGAGAATATCCGAAACGTAACGCCAAGCTACAGACACGCTGTTCGACGAACAGTCACAAAGAAGACACATTTTAATGGTGATGGTCTTTAAATTGGCACACATAGAATAGAATTTTATTATATTATTAATAATAATAACCCGAGCAGGTTCAATATAATGTGATAATAATAAGGTAAAGGTAATTTTGATAAAAAGGATAAGTCTGGTGATCCTCCATATTTTTACTAAAGTCAGCAATCCAATGCTAAGACCTAAACCAACAGTGACAGTATCTCCTAACAAGTATTGTGTGTGTATCAAAGTCTGACATATCTTCTTCCTCTGTGCCAAAAACTATTAAAAACACATTAAGCCACACTGTTGCACTGGGTGACATGTTCCTTCATTACCATGACGAACACACACATTATAGTTTATTTTGACACAACCTCACACACCGTCCTGCTGCCCCGAATACTCAGTAGAGCACCAAATGAATATTGATCCATGGCAGAAAATAGTCTCCAACAAATGCACTATTTCCTTCTGTTTGAGTAACATTTGCTAAAAATTACAGTGCAGTACAGTACAGTTATTTTAGGAAACTGCAGAGCCTTTTTAATGAAACTATTTGTCTGGGATTTACTGTATATCTTTACAAGGAATGGACTTGAATAACCCAGACACAGTAGGAAAGTCAGAAAATACTGAGAGACAGACTAACAAATTGTTAGTTTTGGTCTTTTCATGGGATTTGTTGATTATAAGAAAAAAAAAATTGGATTATGTCTTATCCTTTTAAAATCTGAACGTACAGGTGATGTCAGTTAAAGAAAGTTGCTATTAACCATTTTACATAATATATGTTTCCAAAAATAAAAGTCTCAGTCAAGACCGAAACTGATACAAAGACTGTGTGTAGCTGAGGCAGGCTGAATGAAGTCTGGTTACTAAAAAAACACCCACCTGTCACTCAAAGTGGGAACGCCCGAAATTATGAATAACTACGAGCAATAACTTTAAGCCTTGATAATTTAAACGGGTGAGTTATATAAATACCCCGTACAGTTGTCATAAACAGGAAAATTAGCTAGAGAAACCAAAACCGTTTTTTTTTTCCAGGCTTAAACATGTTTATTTCTGCTGTAAAGTTTTGCATTTTAATATGGGGCCTTATGGAGACTGACTCAATTCTGGAGCCAGACTCTAGTGGCCATTTGAGGAACTGCAGTTGTTGTTACTGCCGCGTTGGCTTCATTTTCCACCTACAGAGGTTGCCCCTTGATTAATTCACAAGAGCTACATTTTGTTAATATTTTGGCTACATTCACATTGCAGTTAAATATGGGTGTAAGCACTTCTTACAGTGTTGATTGATTATGAAAAAGTGTGACAACGACATTTGAAAACCAGATATTATTAAAACCAGGCAGTCTAATCAGCAATGTTCACTCCAACCATCAAACCATCCGATTGCTAATCAGTGGAAAGTAGTCAAAAAATAAAATATAATGTTCATTTAAAAATGGTGCAGACAATTACTTTAAAGTTGAACACTAGGCAGAAGTTCTTTCATGGAAGAAAATTTCCACAATATATTCTGTTTTTAATCCAAAAAATATGGTGTGGTAGTCAAAAAAACATCTTCCTGCTTCTGGGCTGTACTGTCCTCATAAATCACAAAAAATTAAAATAGCTGGAGCCTCTTGTAGGGGTTGGCCGAAATGCCAGTGCTTGTTGGAAAGAGTGTCTGATCACACTAAACCCACAGTGTTCCTCTCCAAAGTCATCATCCCTTCTAGGCTGAACCATCGTTGTTTTTCCCCCCGTCTTGTTCTTTTCTCAGGCTAATCACAGTGATCTTTTTAGTGCTCGTTTTTATATCAGCCTTTACCAACTCTCTTGAAGTTAATGCTTCCCTGACTGCCCACCTTGAAGGTTTATGAGTTCATCAAGATCGACTTAAATGCTCCTTAATTCCCAGACGCCAAGCAGTAAAGTGCCAAACAGTTGGGAGTATCTGGGTTTCAGTTTTGCCTATAATGCTGCCACTTGCAAAGCTCTTCAGAGCAGAAAATGTTCGGTTTCTCTCTGTGATTGTTTTGGTGCTTGTTTGTCTTTGAGACACAGGCGCTGTTGTCGCTGCTATTAGAAAAGAACACGTTTGGAAAAAAAAAAAAAAAAAATCTATTTGAGCAGAATGACTTTGCAAGGACTTACTTTTTTCCAGGAAAGAACACAGAACATTTCACCGTGAAAACACCAGGCAAGGTAACTCATCCCTGGCAGTGTTTGCTGTGATGTGTTGTGAAGGTACAGTAGGACTGGCCTGCAGCAGACAGCAGGCCAAAGTCGTCCAGAGGCAGAAGTCTGCATCGGTCCTCACTGGGGGATGCTTCAATGACAAGTGGCTGCTTCTTCCATTACTCAGCCAGCCGCAGCAATTAAACACCAAGAGATATTTAGGTGTTTTATTTATGGCCAGAACTCCATTCACCCTGATGGCCATGTCCTGCTCTTCCCTCCCTTGTGCTTTATTTGTCCAGAAAAGGTTTACCTGGACTCTGCTCCCTGCATCTGTCCTAAACAAAATTGACAAAAAGTTGACTCTCCTCGCCAGAAAATGGCAGCAGGTGCATTTTGGGTGCATTTTCTTCTTTCTTGTACACTTGCGGTCTTGCAAGTAGTGACTGTATATTCTTAGAAGCAAAGTAGTGTAAAGTTGTTACATTGCCACAAAGCTCTTAGGGAGGAGGCTGGGGTAGATGGCTGGATGTTCAAAGTGCCTGACTAGAAGACAGCACAAACCGCAGTTCGTGACCTGTCTGGCACCGATGGTAAATGTTTGTTTCCTTTAACCATTACCACAGTCTTTCTCTAAACCTACCAAGTAATTTTAGTTGACTAAACTTAAGAAAACCTTAACCATAGATGTGGCAAGTCAGAAAACCCTAATATAAACCAGTACTGAGAAACATTGCCATCCTGCAAAAGATGCCAAAAGATTCAAACTTGAAAAATCTTTACATCACTTATTACAATTACAAAGTCTTCACTGTCATAGACATTTTTTTTTTTTTGTGGAGATGACCCAGTTTTACTCCCACGTCATCAAATATTCCCACCGGGTCAGTGGCCCTCTGCTTCAAAATATGATGCTGTAGGTATCCTTCTAGGGCCCTTTTTGGTTGCGCCCACCATCAAAGTCAGGTGATGTAGTATTAAGAGTGAGAAAGTCTAATTATGGAGGTGGATGGATGGCTCAAACAAATACAGGACTTTAACCCATGAGACTGCTGTTGGTGTCACGAGTGAAAACCAAATGCGAAGAATTTCTCTTAGGTTACATAATGTACGTAACATAACTGACGATCTTATCCTTAACCTACCAAGTAGTTTTTGTGCCTAAACCTAACCGAACTCACAACGTTAATCATGCTAGCTTTATTTTAAAAGTCTAACCGGATGATTATTGTTAACTTGACTAATGTTGCATACATCGCATATTTTTTCTTGCTAATTTGACCAGTGGAGCCCTGAATGTCCAGAAATTATGCTTGAAGCAATTTGGAGTATTTGACGAGTTGGGAGTGAGAATGTGTTGGCTGAGATGATTCGCAGTGGTCAGAGGCAGCTTGAATTACAGCTTAATTACTGCACCTGACTGTTTTATTGATTTAACACATTTCTCTTTGCATATTAGTGTAAATATTTACACTTTAGGGGTGTTCCTAGGTATTTCGTTACCGTTGGCATGGCAGGTTAGCTGCCTTCTCCTGCTTCCAGGTTTTATGCTAAGCTAGGCTAACCATGTGCTGATTCCAGCCCTGTACTTGTCACAGAAATGAAATGACCACGCTCCTCATCTCACTAATGGAGAGAACACATACATATAAAAAAATGATTCAGAATGAACTGATCATTGTGTGACAGGTGTGTAAAGCAAAATTAGATCATCACTTTGTTTCCACTTTACAGACCTCAATGATACTTTGATTAAAATGTCCACTGAAATATATATACTTTAGACAGCTTTTATCTGTTTGTGTGTGTGTTATGTGCCATACTGTCATTTATCTGCTAAAATATGACAACATGTATTGTTGGCAGTTCCTGTAATGGCACTTCAGAGATTTTAATGAGGAAGGTCATTATGCTAACAAGCTAGATAACACAAAGTAATTTTAATCTGCTTCCTCTTGTCTTGTGCTTTCTTCCTGTTCATATCTGTTCTCCACAGCCTCTGTTGTCGTCTTACATTACACTCAGCCTGGTACATTCTGATCATGTCTAATCTCCTGCCCCTCTCTCTCCTCCTCCTCCTCTTCCTCGTCTTCCCCCCCTCATCTTTCTCCTCCTCGTCCTCCTCCTCTCTGCTCCCTACCTGGCACTGAGCTCTGTGTGCTGATTCAGCCTGTTGTGATATTGCATATATGACAGTTCCCGGTCCTGATTTGAAGGCATTAAAATGCTGCGGGCAGTGGACAGAAGTAATCTCTCTTTCTGCTAAATGTAACCTTCAGCTCAGTGGGAGTTAGCATGCTGACGGACCCCCTCTCTGGCAACAGTGCGCCACCATTCATGCCGAAACATTATTTATTGCATTTATCCATGCATCACCTGCTGTCTGATTTTGAAATTTTGAAAATATGCTACTTTATTTTCTTGAACTTCATGAAATGTGCATTATGAACCGCCTCAATGTGCCTCTCTCTTTTTATGTTGCAGGCGACACGCCTCATTGCCCGTAGAAGTCTCAGAGATCCCTCTAAACCTTATTGCCCCTCCATGTAGAAGAAGTTACCCCTGTCGCAAATGGAAGTCTGCATCTTTTGGGTAAATTGAAGGGTTTTTATTGAAGTCACCTTTTCTTCATCAGACCACAACTCTCTTAGCCCATTTCCTGACAGTCTATCTCATTACAACTGTCCTGGTGCCAGTTTACAATATCACTCTGTTTATCAGCCTGAGAAAACATCTAATTTCTGACCTTGCCATTCCCCATGCAGTGTTTTCTTTGTTTGTCAGTCTTTTCCTTTTCCTTGTGAAGACTTCCACCACCCACTGTGCACAAGCTGGTGGGTGGCCTCCTCAGCCTCCAAATCTACTCAGATAGAAAATGAACAACACCCACCGCAACCACAGATGTGAAGTAGAAGCGCAGTAGGGGAACGGACTACTTTCTGAGATAGAGCTGGCGGAACACACCCCTGTGATGTGCATTTCTTCCCTCTGTCTTTCAGGATTACAAGTAGTGAAAGAGTTGATATCTTAGAAAATGAGCGACATGCCTTGCTGCACTTTATAAACACTCCCCCATGCTGCTACAACTTTTTAGATTACTGCGAGCAGCGCATTTGCATAAAGCATCTTGCGGCACATACAGTACAGCAGTGCCCTGCCCGGCTGTCCATGCAGTCCTCCTCTCTATAGATGCTTTTCCTTGGTGTTCATTACAGCTGCTCAGCGAGGCCCTGAGAGCTCCTCAGCAAATGAGGAGAGATGGGGAGAGATGAAAACCCTGAGAGCATTCAGCAGTGGGACATAGGCTTCAAAAGCTTCATGGCAATTTCAAAGGGTTTTTATTTTTGACGCCACGCTCGCTATATCTATGGAGTATCCAGCGCTGAGCTTGAGAGCAATTCTTAAACGCAGGTTTACGGGTTGGAAAAGAGATACAAAAATGTCACCCTACAGGCTTTTGCCTGGGGAGGAAGGAGATAGTGAAAGCCCTAATGAGTCTTGTTTGTTCACCATGTTTATTGATTCTAATTAGCCGTGGAGATGAAGAGAGTACGAAGAATGTGTGCTAACAGTGTGATTACAGTTAGGTCTTGAGCTGTCCCACTCTATTAAGAAGTATTTACCAAAGAACATGAAGAACAAGTGCACATCAATTACAGTTGCCCAGAGAGTTGTGTTCTGAATGACAACCGGGTCAAGCTGGAACTTAGAATAGGAGGTAGGTGTGTAGATTGGATAACGAATGCAATTATGTTAAACCCCTGAGAGGCACGGAGGAAGTGACACATAGCTTCAGGTAAAATCACACTGCGAAGCAATATGCAGCTGTACAGTGAAGCAGCTTTAGAGACAGATCATTGGGCTTTTATATTTGGCAGATACAAGATTAAAGGTGTCAGCGGCAGGAAAAGGTAACAGCGAGAGATAAGAATACTCTTCTTTTGGATTTTTGTGCTCTTATATGTGCAGATTCATGGTGATGGTGCTCTTTCCTCAACATTATTACATTGCTTAGTTCCATTTTGATGATTGAAACTAGGAGATCAGGCAGAGCATTGATTACATTTTTTCTGAGCACTTCAGTAGAAAGTACAAAATTAACATTAAAGCTGCATTAATTGATCTCGTTAGCCGTTTGGCCAGTCCGAAAAGCTGTAAACTCAACAATAACATATTATCTCACAAACTAGCTAGTTACATTAGCTTTCATTTAGAGCTGGTGTTTCTGGCTACCTACAGTAATTAAGCCTTTTTGTTTAGTTTTGGTCTTCAACATCTCGCTTCTAGCTCCACCAGCTAGATGCTAACTTTATCTGTCTGCTTGACAGTCACCGTACTGTGGGGATTTTACCCTGAAAAATGCAGCTAGAAACAAAGTTGATAAGAGTTGTAATACTAAACCAAAACAGTAAAGCTGTGGGCCGTAAAATCAAAACAATAAGCTAAAAGACACCAATATGCTTCATAGACCACAAGGGAACTGCAGAGTTTGGTTATACAGTATTCTTATCTTTCACATCACAGCTAGTCATTATTTCAGTTGGTAATATAAAAATATTAATTTGTGTGGCTTTTAAAAAGGCTAGCTTGTGCATTTATGTATTTATGTATGCCTTATAAGGCAAGAAGTTGAACAAACATTTTAGAAACTTGCCAAGCTTTTTCTTTTTAAAGCAAGTTAACAAGTTCTCCAAATGACATACTAAGTCATCCAAATTGATTTGCAAGTGAAAAGTTGGAGATAAATGTAAAACCTGAGAGCAGTATTTACTTACAGTGCCTGTCAAAGCTCCTGCCTGTAAGCAATTACAATGATGTAGCTTTATTTGAGCAGTATCTTCCATTTACCCTGTAAGATGTGCACAAAACAGGACAAATTAGTTTGTACACAGGGAAACTTAATTCTGTGGAGAATCGTTCCAGTCTTCTATCCAGTAATTGGACATCCATGAAATCTGTACAACCAAGTGTAAAACAATTTACTGGACTTAAACTAAACTGAAATGTGCCTTTCCTGATTGAGCAGGGTCAATAGCAGAGTTAATCACTACTAGAACTGCTAAGATACGTTGCAAGAAACAAAACAGTAAAGTCAATGATGAAAAGGAAAAAAATAACCTGGGAATGTCCTATGAATATAATATATGATACACCAATCAGCCATAACATTCTGAGCACTGACAGGTGAAGTGTAAAACACTGATTATCTGGTTATCGTGGCACCGGAGACAGGGTCATGGGCGGCCAAGGCTCACTGATGGCACGTGGGGAACCCGAAGGCTGGCCCCCGTGTCGGTTCCGATCCAACACGACCAAGCTACTGAAGCTCAAAACTGCTGAAACCAGTTTAATGGCTTGGTTCTAAATAGAAAGGTGTCAGAACAACATCAGTGCATGCACAGTCCTGTGTTGTATGGGGCTGCAGAACATTAGATGGTCAAGCACTAACTTTAAACCTCAGCTTTTAAGAAAAATTTAAACATCAGTAATTATATGTCAAGCGGCTCTAAACTAGTTTAACTCCCAATAGTGGCTGTGTAGCTTAGCTATTTTCAAAATTAAAACTTAATCTGATTCAAGAAATAATTAAGCCGTGGGCTGGTTTGACAGCACGGAGCAGAGAAAGGGTGTGACTGCAGCCAACCTGTACCGTAAGAGGCCAGCAGCACTGGAGAGCTGCTCAGTCGGCCAGAAGCTGGTCTGGTGCTGGTCCCCTTCCCATCCTGCTCCATTTTGTTAATCCCTTACTGCAGGAGGGGCAGTTAAACAGAGCCGGAAAAAACAACCTTCCACATCACTGGTAATATGTTCCCAAGCTCCTGAACAGCTACCTGGTGTGGTGTTGTCAATTGTTTCCAAGGTCCACAATGAACAGCTATAAATATAGTTTGGTCATATACTGTAGTTTACAATAACTTTGTCTGAGCATCCATCTTTATAGGAATTATATATATATATTTTTTTTTTTCATTAGTATCTTTGAAGTTGTACAAGCTTTATTTTCTGTAAGCGAGTGTAAAGCATTGGAACCATTATATTCTGCATGGGTATGTTAACGTGCTGTTTCGACTCAGGTGTGCACAATGTTTGCCAACGCAGCCCCTCAGAGAAACCATCCTCTGTCTCAGCATATTGCCAGGCTTAAAAAACAGTCATTTTGAGTTTGGAAAAAACCCTTGGAGCTCCACAGAATTTTCAGCCACATATGGGAAGACAATATGTTCATTTTTCATTGTGGTCTGCTTTTTCCTTTGATCTGGTGTTCTTTTTCTTTTTTTAATGAAAGCTCAGCGAGGGTAACTGCAGGCTTTCAAAGCCTTCCAACGTCTGATGTTAGTGTTTTTGTATTTGTCGATATGGTCTTTGCCCAGTGGTGTCCAGATTATACTTCCAGTTTGCATGGGGTGGATGGTGTGAAGAAGAAAGCTGCTAGTGATCTGTGTAAATGGCTTTTCTGTAAACCCCGTCTCCACAGTCCAGAAAAGACAGTTTGTTGTTGAAACTGATAACTCCCTCTCTAGGGTTTCATCCATGTGCACCCTGTCAACAATGGTGGACACTAGTGAACCTGTGGTGCTGTCATGTTTCTCCTTTTACTTGAAATATCTTGGCTTCAAGCGCAGATTCCACAAAGAGCACACCTGGTCTGGGTTAAATTTCAGTCTGTTCTTTCCTGATGAGCTCTCTTACTGTCTGCACTGCTGATGTCTCTGGCAAATATTCTGTCATCAGCTTCCATTTTTTTTTTTTTTTAAACTCCCCAAACTTTTGTATTTGATGTATAGTGTTACTACACAGAGTTAGGGTAGTGGGGTGAGCTGTGAGGAATGTCACAAACAAGGGTAACAACTAGGGATGTTAGATATTCACAAAAAAATTTAATATCGGGAATTATCGGAATTAACCAGAGCTAGCTCTTAGCTAGTGATTAGCGCTTAGCTAGCAATTAGCGTTAGCGCTCTTTTCAGGTATTAATACAATGGAAAGGTGGAGGTTGTTCTCTTATTTTTGCAGCAGTGTTTGCATTTGGAAAGCCATGTTGCATTATGGTATGCATCAGTGGGGGCATCACAATAAATGATACATAATGGTGTTATTCACAATAGGAGAATTATGTTATGTTGTTACCCTAACAGTGTTTGTGTAAAAAGCCTTGCATATATCGGTATTCGGGTGATATCCGGTATCGGAA